GTGATTAGCACCTCAGTACTCTTCACATCTCTCTCTGAAAGCTAATGAAAAATAATCCTACTATTCTTGTGTATGGTAAAAAATATTTGCCATACACCCTTATGGAAAAACACCACTTCTGTTTCTTTATTTCCTGCCTTTTTTTACTGAAATGAATACAAATACCATGGAAGCTTCCACGTGACAGACACTGTCATTCACAGTTTTCAGAGCATCATGATAGAGATGTACTTGTAGGATCCATTGTGGGCCATTTCTTGGAATCTAAATGACGAATAAATACATCTGACTGAACCACAAATTCTCCTTTGCGTTTCAGTTCTGTTATGATTTTCAGTAAGTCCACTATGACTCATCATAAAAACTAGTGCTTGACCAAGGTAAACTATCTGAAATGGAAGAGTCTTACTTAATGCTTTCTCTAAACCCCACATTCCCCTAGCTAATGTAATGAAAAGTCTGTGTCCTTCACAAGGAGCATCCAAGTATGTACTTTCAAAGGTGCTCAAGCTCTGCTCTTCCTCTCTTTGCACTTTTAGTGGAGTTGAACTTTAGACACCATCAACTGCATGAAATAAACTGGATTAATTAGAAAATGTACACAGAAGGTGGGTGGGACATGCCAGTTAAAATGCCAGTTAAAATGCCAGTGAACTAAATGTGACAAGTATGTATTCACAACTTTGAATGAGGGTATGTTAACAACAAAAATATTTTCCAGTGGGAAACAAAAGAAGTAACCAATGACAAAAAAATCTGAGGCAGACAAATTTTGTAATGCTTGTGGTATTTCTATGATAGGGTGAATATCTATAAAACAATAACAGAATATATTGTGCAAACCCCAGGACACTGACTTGGCACATCCACTATTCCACAATGGGCTGTGTCAGAATCAACACCAAGCATAGTAAATGATGGTGTTTTAGAAGAAAAAAATGAATAAAAGGCATTATTAGGAGTTCTGGGCTGTCTTTTACTAAAAATAAAAAGCTTTGTGGACTGCCATGTCCAATTACATTGCAGTGATATAAAATTTGCATTCAGTCCTCAAAATTTCATCACTGGTTCAAAAGCCTACCAATATGCCTAAGTATTCAAGCTTGTTTGTTGATATGTCTTTCTGTTGAGTATGAATTATTGCTTGCATACAGAAATTACTATTTCACTGAACAGCTGTTACCACATCTTCTGAACTGCAAGAAGTGTTAAAGTATTATATTTGACTTTTTTTTTTTCCCCACGTGGTAATATGATATAGTAGTAGAAAATCTTGTAAAAACATCAAGAATTTGGTAGAAATGAGGAAGAATAGCAAGATCTATATAGTAAGTTTCAATTTTGCACAAGCATCAAGTTTGATCTGTCATTTTTTTCAAGTAACTAATAAAATATAGACTAGCTTCCAGAACTATTTTGCTTTTTGACGGCTAAAAAAACCAACCACTGATAATCTGTGTTTTATGAAGGTGGATTGCTTTGAAAGTGTAGGTATTTGTCACAGCATAATATAAGAAAGACAAACGTTAGATAAGATAATACTGTTCCAGTTCTCTCAGGACTTTTCAGGAGTCTGATTTGTATAGCTGAAGACTTTAGGACACTGCTTAACGTGTAAGAATCTATTTTGATTTAGAGAATTACCTTTACAACTTTTAAAAAATACATACTTAGTATAGTTATGAAAAAAACACAATGCAGGCACCAATGAAGCTTCTCCCAAACTTGTGTTTCCATTTAAAACTTTATTTTGTATGTTCAGAACATCACCGAAAACATAGAAACTTGTAGGCACACATGACTTCATATCCAGAGTTTTTGAATAAAATATTTGCTAATGAAATCGCAACAACACATTTCATGATACCTATATATCTTAATATTTCATATATACATAGAAAAGTCATGCATGGTAAAGAATCATTTTGTCTAGACCATGTTTTCTGGGTGCTAAAATTCACTGTAGATCTTACATGTTTTAAATATGTCATATATTTTTCTTTACATTTTAAAGAGTTTATTATACTGATATCACATTCCCAAATAAAACACAAAATGTAATAAAGCTGTATATTTTCATTATTTACCTTACAGTTTTTTCCCTGTATTTAAAAAAAAAAAAAAAAAGTATAAGTAATAGCAAACCAAATGTTTTAAACTAGCTCACAAGTATGTAAGATATGTAAAATCTAGTGGTATAAACTAGGATGACAATGAAAGGGTATAAAATATGTTCTCTTTCGAGTCTGTGGTCCATGAGTAATATTGCTTCTCTACTGGCCTTGCTTTGATACATGCAAGTCCATGAAAGAATTCATGGCTTATTATGTAGCAGGTGAAGAATCAACTGGGAATTAAAGGAAATGGTCCTCAAGTCTAACAATTGGCAGTTACTTATTTTATTTCCACCTTTGCCATACAATTACTTTTTTCTTGCTATGAGGCACAATCAAAAAAGTCCAGGTCCAAATTTCAGCCTGTAATATCCTTGCTGTCATAACTTTTCCAGTCTAATTCAGATCCCCTTTGTTCTATTTCTGCAAGATTCCTTACTATGTAAATAATTCCACCAGGTAAAGTAATAATATTAAAAGGATCTTTATCTTCACACAGCCTTTTTTCTTTGAGTGCCTGTCATTATTCCATGCTGGCTGCTTAGGTGTGTGCCATGCGTGATGACCTTTGGCACCAGTGTGATAGCATCAGTGGGAGACCTCTTTACTGCCGACCTCTGTATGTAACCCATTACTCCTTAAGTGTGATCAGTCTTTTGATTTTCATTTCGTTAGTGGAATCCAATGCTGTGAAGATGAGTATTGTCCGCCATTTGCTTACAAACAAAGTAGATGTATAAATATGTATAAAAGTCTTACCAAACATAGTGCTTTTAAATGTTTTGTATCCCTGACCTGGAAATACTGATTGATCTATTGACAGACAGACAAGAAAAAGATGCACTTAGCCATATAAGCCATAACAGGTTTCTTTATGTGTTTTAGAAACTATTAACAATGTGGAGAGTCAGTCTGATCAAATGCAGAGCGAGCACTGGACTGGGACTAAGGAGGTCTGCTTTTCTTCCCAGCTCTGCCACTACCCTTCTGGGTAACCTATGTGCAGTTGCTTCCTCTCTTCATGTCTCAGTTTCATCACCTGGGAAGTTAAGATAATGGTGCTGTCTTTTTCTAAAGTGCTTTGAGAATTATGGAGAAAAGGCATCATGTAAGACCCAAGAATTTATTGTAAAGGAAGAGCCTCGGCTTTTTTTCATGTTCTCTCTAATTTTCTCTTCTAATACAATAAAGTAAACAAACCCACAAAATTCTGTCATCATTTAAATCAGTGGGAGTCTTACGCTTAATTTTAACGGTGCCAGAATTTCTTCTGAGTGAATGACAAAGGTTGTGCTCCTTTCTAGACAATGCTAGTAGCAATTCTTGCTCAAATGTATGCTATCACTCTTCCTGTGAAATGTCTGCACTTCTGTTTGAAAGGTGGAAGGGAAGAAAGCAATAGCTCTGAGAGCAACAAGGTAACAATTTTTAATGCAATACTTCACTTGACCAGCTCCTAGGAAATATTTATAATGCAACAGCATGCATCCTAATAATACTAGTACCTGGCTGCATTTTCCCAAAATATGGTGGTTTGTTTTTATTATTTCAAAGCAGTTCCTAAAGTGCAAATTGTAGCTTATTCGATTTTAATGTGTCCTTTAAAAAATGTATGTGCTTCTTTTATCTTAAATGGTCTTTGTTATCTGTAGGATACATACTTTATTCATTCATATTAATTTTTTTAAAAAGCTTTGAAGAGATCCAGAAAAGCTCACATTTTGTACAGTTTATCCCCTTCCAAAGGTTTTGAGAAGAGTAGTTTCCCCTGGCAGAGTGGTTTAAACCATTTTTTTTCTACTCTGAACTTTGTATTGCATTGTAACACAGTACTGATTACAACTCTTAATATGCCAAATCCTGTAGTACTTATCCCAGCAAGTCTTCTCCTAGAGACTCTCGTGGGCTCTAATGCCAGATATAGGATTTGGTTCTATAAATAGTCACAGCAGTTCAAATCATGAGTTTAAACGGTAAATATAAAACCCTTCAGACAATATAAAGGCATTAGATCTAGTAGTGCATGAATGCAAAACCATTCCAATTTGACTACAGTAATGTAAAGAAGTTTTACTCAGCTAATCTGGTAATTTGAATAAAAACTTTGTATAGAACACCGACCCCTCTCCAAGGGTACTGCCAGTTCAATAGACTTTCCGTTCATTCACTAATCACACCCTGTGTTCATTTAACCATCAGCAGCGTTTGAAATGAGCCTTTCCCATAGAGGCTTTTGTAAGGGACTCCCCAGCCAGTCCTCCCTGGCTGAAGCTTCCTGTTTGTATATGTACATTTTTTTATACCATCTGACGTTCTCCACAGGCAAACATCTGCTCTTCTGAAATACATTGGGGCCAGAAGCATGGGTCATCCTTGAAGCGACGGGTCTAGAAAAGGAGATCACCTCCATCTCTCCTACAGGGATTGGCTTTTCCTCATCCCACAGTTCAAACACTGCATCATACTAGAAAGAAATCTCATGCTGAGGGGGAGGGGGTAAAGGGAATATCTGTTCCTTTTAACTGTGCTACCCCCACACTTCCCTTTAGGGTGAAAAAGTTTGTTTATTTGGCAGATCCAAGACTACCTTATGCAAGCTGCCCCACCAGTTAGTAATGAAAAATGCACAAAATTGTTTGTTCACAGCATTCTTAAAGGGCTTGATAACACCACCCAGCATGCATTGATACTTTTTAGATTCCTTCTTGGCCGTTTCTTTGTTTTTGTTCTAACATTATGCATTGCCTTCTCTTGTAGTTATATGCAAGTGTAAATAATATGAAGTTGTCTTCCCAAATTTTCCACTTTATGCTGAGGATGCAATTTCTTTTCTTCTGTAAATTACAAAATTAGATGTCGTGGCCCATCTTTCTTTTACTTCCTGATTTTTTTCGCTGATAGCTGGAGTACACGATTTTTTAATTGTTGGCTTTTTTCACAGTAACCACAGTAACTCATTTTTTTCAAATTCCAAATATTTCTTTTAAAACAGATACTAATAAATAGGTATAGTTGTTTGCTGTCTATAGGTTTTACTTGGGTATTGCCAGGCAGGTGAGACTGCATCATTCACTCCTGACAGTGCAATTTCACATCACCACACATTTGCCTTTCAGCTTCTCTTTCCTTTTCTGTTGCTTGCTTTTTTTGCCATCAATTTGTAAACTCACAGTCCTGCGTTTCTCTAGGTTTAGCAATTCTTGGAATAACTCTTTCACGTTGTGGTTCAGCTTGGCAGAGGTCTCCATGAAGGCACATTTCCACTTCTTAGCCATGGCTTCTCCTTCACTGCTGTCCACCTCTCGATTTTGGTTCTCATCATTTTTGTTTCCCACCAGCATTATTGGAATGCTTTCTATGTCTCCTTTAATCTGACATATTTGTTCATAGATCGGTTTGAGCTCCTCCAAGGACTGTCGGCTGGTGATAGAGTAAACCAAAATGAAAGCATGTCCTTTAGAAATAGAAAGACGTTGCATGGCTGGAAATTGATGGCTCCCTGTAGTGTCAGTTATCTGCAAAGTGCATATGCTCTTATCACAGCTGATCACCTGCCGATAGGTGTCTTCGATGGTGGGGATGTAGCTCTCTCTGAAAGTGCCCTTCACAAATCTCAAGACCAAAGAACTTTTGCCCACTCCTCCAGCTCCAAACACAACAACCCTGTAATCATTGCTTTGCTCAGGCATGTTTGTCGGTGTGTCTGTTGCTCAGCTAGATGGAAAAATCTAGGAAAGAAAATGGCAAAAACAACAAGTCAAGCATTAATACAGGTACATGTGGAAAGTGTACTTTGTGATGTCTTTCCCAATAAGAGAAATGAATGTGATGTAAGTGATGGCATACTAGTTGTTGTAATTTAAGATTTGCAGTGGGTTACAGATTTATTTATTTCAGTAGTATTTAGGATTTGCAGTCCAGCCTGGAATGGTTACCAAAGACCATCTTCATCACTTCATGACATATTTTAAATTAACATTGTGAGTTTAAGTATTCTTCCTACTGGACTAATATCCCCAGAACTCAAAAACTAATTCTGGGAAACGGTATTTGAGCAAGGCCAAGGCCTGAACAAATTGTAGAAACTAAATTACTTTTCTGTCTTTAAAACAAGTCTCCCCAAATCATTGTTGAAACACACCAGTATACACATGTATAACAGACAGTTACTCTAAACATGCCATCTCTTCAGTAGTTAGGAAATTTATCTCCACTACAACTGGACAACAGTCTTGAGTGACATCTAAGATGCATTTGTAGCTTATTCAGCAATAACACCAAGTATGCTTTGTTTCTAACTCTTTGGGAGCGTGTGCCCCACTTCAATGTCTTTTTCCACTTGCATTTCATGTCAAAGAGTACATTTAGGTAAACTGAGATTGTTCACGTTCAGTCTGCCTTTTCATTCTAACTTTTATTCCACAGCAGATGATATTTGACTGGAGACATACTACATTTATAAGGAAAGGTTGTGTAGGCATGTCCACCACATTTTTAAGTGGATTATATGGTCAAGGTTGGCAATTGCATATGTCAAAGGTCACAAAACTGTGATCCCTGCAGTCAGTTCCCCTTGAAAAAAACTGTCTGTACCAGAACCACAAATACTGTCATCATTATTAAATAACAGAAATGGTAAAGCTTTCACAGGGTTGCACACTGTAGTTTTATAGAATTTATAGATGTAAATATGAAGATTAGTTTGTCCTCCGATCAGTAGCAGCTCATTAGGTACAGAGCATATACAAGCCTCTTTTTACATTTAACGAGATTTAAGCAAATAAACACTAAAAAATTGAACCCTAAATGTTGAAGAGATTTTAGGATATTGTTACTTTTTGGACAAAAGCTAGATATATAAAAAGTATGTGTGGAACAAACTGCAAAATTTGCTACACCTAAATTTGTTCTCAGAAAAATGAGCTGATTTAATAAGGAACCTTGTCCAAGTGCCCTAATGGTGCCAGGAGATTGAATTTGTCTGTTGCAATGTTGCCTGGGTAGCAGCTAATCCAGAACAACCCAAAGAGATTTCTTACTGTATGAGGAAAGTCTTCAAGCTATTTTTTCACTACAGCAGAAGGAGTGATTGCATTGCGGGGCAGGATTTTAAGTTACCATTTACCTGTCTAGCACGGGGAGAATAGCAGTGATGCTGTAGAGGTATGGATGTGAGTGGAGCCCCCATGACCACTTGTCAGCCTGCAATGAATTTTGTGCTTCTGCATCTTTGATGCTATTGCTGCCTGTGCCAGTTAGATTAAAGCTATGGCTACACTTGCTGCACTAATGTCTTCATTTTGCTGTTCAAGCATACCCTAATTTTGCTATCCTTCTTGTCCAGGGCAATCTATTCTGTCCTAATTCTAATGTCTGAGCAAGCTGAAAACATCTGTCTTTACATAATGTGTTGGACGAAGGAGTTGTACTTCCTCATCTGCCACACTGTAGGCAGAATAACCAGTGCAACTGGGGATGCTGATCCTGAGGCGAAGTGGAGAGCTGTCACAGCTCTGCCTACCCAGCCTGGCTTCAGGCAGAAGGCAGCTTCACCCCTTCCTACGCTGCAGTGACTGTCATTCTCAGAGACCTGTTTAAATATAGAAAAGATTGATAAATAACAGTGTTCATCCTGAGGCACTGAAGCAAAATCTTTTTCTCTTTGACAGCAGAATTCAAGGAATGGAAAGAAGACTAGTCTCAGAAAACACTGGTGTATGTGCTTATATAAGATAGAAAACCCTCTGAGGAACAAGGAAAATGGGTGAGCCATTCATGCTGCTGAGAAAACAAACAAGCCCAAAGTAACTAGCAAGAAATAAGACACAGAGGAAGCTAGCAGGACGCTGTCCCACTGGGAATAATCTTGTACCTAAAAACTGCAAATATGCAAATTCAGAATAGTCACAGAGCTTAAAGTCATGGGTGACTGTAGAGAATGAGTTATCATAAGAATCATAGTTAATAATTTTTGTGAACAAAAAGACAATAGAGAAAAACATGTCTATGCCACCTCAGAAGCAGCTTAAGCTTTGCACAATGAGGTAATACATAGCCTAGGAACTATGGGATAATGAGAAAAAAATGCACTGTGAACATTTTTACTATGAAAATCAGTGAAGTACGGAATAAAGAAATAAAATTTTAAAAGTTAGCTTAGTGTATTTCTGTTGTATTAAACTTCATGCTTTAAACATACTCAGAAAATTCCAAGAAAACTGGTACATATGGCTGCCCAGAAGTTAGACGAAATTGAAATGTGGTACTTAGTGGCAGGAAGTATTATGCATCTGAAAAGCTTAAAAGGGAACCTGAAATGGCATGGTAACAGTCTTCAAATACATAGTAAGTTGTTGCAAAGAGGGACAGTGTATATCTGTAGTGGAAAAAAAATGGAATTAATGGGCTTACATTGTAGAAGAGATTCACATATAGACAGTAGGAAAACTTTACAGCGGTAAGAAGAGCACACTGATTGCTTAGGGAGATTTTGCAGACTGCCTTTAGAAATGACCATACAATCACAGGATAATTCAGGCTGGAAGGGACCTAAGGAGGTCTCTGGTCCAGCCTGCTGGTCAGAGCTGTGTCAGCCGTGAGACCAGACAAAGTTGCTCTGTTCTGTCAGGGATTGAAAGCCTCCAATATTTCCCCCAGCCTCTCTAGCCAACCTACTCCAGTGCTAAATTACCCTCAGCGTGATTTTTTTCCCCCCTTATATCTAGTCTGAACTACTTGTGTTTCAAGTCATACCTGTTGTCTCTCCTCCTCCGCTGCTGTGAAGAGTTTGACTCCATCTTCATGGTGGCTTTTCTGTAGGTTTTAGGGGGCTGCTGTTTGGTGCCTCCTAAACTGTGCCTTCTCCAGGCTGACCCAGCCCTGGTCCCTCAGCCTGCAGGGCCGGACAGTGCTGCAGCCCTGGACACCTCAGTGCCTTCAGTGCCCTCATCGGAACTTGCTCCCGCTTATTGGTATATTTCCTCCACCAGAGGTGCCAAAACCAGGGAAATTACACAGCTGATGTCTCATGAGTGCTGAGCAGAGGACAATGACTATGTCCGTGGACCGACTGGCCTTGCTTCTTTTCATGCAGCCCAGGACATGGTGAGCTATCATTGCAGCCAGGGCCACTGCTGGCCATGACGAGATCACTGCCCGTCATGGCCCCAGGGTCTTCTCAACAGAGCTGCTTCCCAGCCCGGGTAAGTGCAAAGGAGCAGCAACCTTAGTTGCTGTTTAGTCTGCCCACATGCAGGTCTGTTCGTCCTAAAGATCTTCAGTTTTACAAAAATAAACCATACGGATTATTTTACTTTTTGTCCTGCTCAGGAGCTGGGAGCAAAGAAAATGAAAACTTCATGCAAGGCTTTTTAATCACACAAGAGAAAGCCTTCCCTAAATAATTTTCACCATGTGGTTGTATTCTCTGTGTGGATTTGATCAGAGATTCTCCTGCAGTGAAAATAATTCCGTGTGACTGTGGTGCACTTGCACCCAATTGTACATTTGTTAATGCTTTTCATACTCCCTTACTACTGATTTTTATTTGTCTTAAAATACATTAACTAAAACACACAGCAGGGCAAAATAAAGTACTACATTGTTTCATTGGCTTTCAATACTCTGGCCAATGTGGGTATGGAAAAATTAACTTGAAAGAAGTCTGACTTTTCAGATGTACAGTATCCTCTCTGATTCATCCTTTGAGAACCTGTCTGTTTCATAATCTGCACATAGAAAATAGCAATTGCTTTTTACACTTTAGAACTGACTTATTCTGGAGTTTTTGTGTAATAAAGCCTCATATGCTACCTTTGCTACTTTCACAAACTACATCAGTGAAAATTTACTGTCATCCTCTGAAGTGTCAAGTTTACCAAAACTGTCCTCACTTAAAAAGGCAAAGCAATTTTCCTAAGTATGCAACCATACCCTTCATTTTTTAACTTTTTGGCTGAAAAGTTCAGCAAGTAAGTGAGCCTCCATATACCTCTGCTGACTTAGCTCTGTTTTCTGCAGGTGCTTTGCTAGCACAAGGCTTCAGTTGCTGTAGCTCAGCTGCTGTGGGTGAGCTCAACAGGCCATTCACTGGGACAAAAGCCTGTCTCCAGTTCAAACTCAACTCTAAGTTGGTCTGCATTCTTTCCCT